TCTGACACTCATTGGTGTTTGGAGGGATTCATTTGTCATTTAAAGTTGAAGTCTCAATACTATAGGAAGCAGGACAATGAAGGAGGCAGTCATTTCTAATTATAGGGCTACTGGGCAGCCGGCAGGCTTGATCTCAGTTTATTTCCATTCTAACTAATGAACGATAACCTAAGCAATGTCATAGGAGTGTGGACAGTATCAGCAAGCATCACAAACTTAATGACTCCTTGTACATATCTTGCTTCTTCTCGGTGTCCATTCATTCAACAAAATGAATGAGACATCCACTGGGTGCCCTCAACCAAGTATTTTTGCTTTCATTGATTTCTTCCATGGGCCAACTTTGAAAGCTCTCATACTTTTTTTTTCATGGTTTCTACTTGCAGAAGTAACATTTGCTTATTGTAGCAAGAGAAACAAGATGTATAAAAAGGAAAATTAGTCATCTCTCTCCCCAGCACCCTCTATTCCCATTACCTCGATGGCACCAAAGTTATCTCAGTTGTATTTTTGATCAAGAAATTTCCTTCAACTTCCCCACTAGACAGCAGTAAGGATCTTGTACCACACAGTCACAATGTGGTGAAGGCTAATGATAAATCTGGTCAGTGATGCGTCCTATTTCCAGAAGACACTGGGCAAGGCAGGGCAGTCCTCAGGCAAGACATCTTGCAAGTGCACTCGCTCTGGTTTGCAATATAGGCTCATGGCCAGCCGTGCTCCCCAGGAGGAGTGTTTGTCCGTATGTCCCTGTGTATTACATGACATACACATCTTTGTAACTTACTGTGGATACTGGAAAGGCCAGGGTGGTAAAAAGGAGGTCTCTGAAGGCAGTTACAAACGTAATGCTTTTTTTTCTTTCAATTCTCTTCAGCACATCTTCCAGGCAAGCGACCCCATAGAAAATGACCTGCAGGAGCTAAATTCATTACAACAAATGAGGGCATTTTCATTTGCTTTGATTAATACATTCTTCACTGACATAAAGCTCCATCCCTCTGGGAGCAGAGTTGATTGGAGGAGGAGGGGGCTGTTGGCTGTTTTGCTTGAGAGCCAATTCAAGGGCTGGTCTTGCCGCTCACTGGTCCCTGGCCTTGCTCACTAGAACTGATGGAGTAAAGTCGTTTGGGGGATAATAATGTGTACAGTATTTAGTGTAATTGACTTGAGCTGACATGGAAACAAAATTAAGAGTCAGCTTAAAAGGAGATGTAATGAGAGAGATACCTTGGCATACAGAGGTGGGCAGAAAAAGAAATGAACAACACAAGGTCACAGAGCCAGACACAACAGTGGGCATATGCTGCCCTCTTCCTTGTAAGAAAACATTTTTAAAGACCTAGTGCTGCAATCTTGCTGGGAAGCCAGAATCAGCGACGGCAGCATCATGGAGGAGTTCTGTGTTTCCTTAGGAAGATGCACAAAATGGCATCAGGCTTATCTGAGGGAATAGCCAGTGTTCTTTCCTCATTGAAAGGGGGTGCCTGAAGTACATACAAAGAAAATCTGGCTGAGGGAGGAAGACAGACGCAAA